AGCTGTATGACTTTAGGCAAGTTACTTAATCCCTCTGTGCTCCAGTTCCCTTAAGTGCCCCAAAAGGATAATAATGGCACTTATAGGGTTGATATAACTATAGCGGCCAAGGACAGGCAGCCACTATGGTGTGAAGATTATTTTGAATTAAAAGCAATAAAAACCCAGCAGATTCAGGAAAATCTCTTTACTGCCCCCTCAACTGCCTGCCTGTACCAGGAAAAGAGCTATTAACAGAGATTCCTCTTTACCTAAGAAACTTATCTGCATAAGAGGGCAACCTTGTTTTCAAAACATCTCCTCTCACCTTCCTGCTAGTGGTCTTCCTCTCTTTTGTGTCCTCAGACCCCTACCCCTCTCCTTAGCTCATAGAAGCCTTGTGTTGCCTGGCTGCCTTGGAATTTTATGTCTGTGTGGATTCTCTATACGTCCAAAATTAAATGTGGTTTTTCTCCTGTTAATCTGTCTCATGTCAATTTGATTCTTAGTCTGGATAGAAGGACCTTGAAGGGCAGAGGAAATTCTTTCCCCCCAACATAAAGATTAAATGACCTAATATTAGTGTGGCCTACCATCTCAGTTTGCTCAGAACAGTTCCAGTTTATGCTTTTTATCCTAATATCCTGGCTGGTTTAGAATTCGCCTGCCCCCTTTCATTCTCAAAAGTGTCAAAAGTGTCCCAGATTGAAATATTAAATATATGGTCACTGTAGTTCTGTAAATATCACTTAGAAAAATGCCTTGGGGCGCCTGGGTGGCTCAGTCGTTAAGCGTCTGCCTTCGGCTCAGGTCATGATCCTAGGATCCTGGGATCGAGCCCCGCATCAGGCTCCCTGCTCTGCAGAAAGCCTGCTTCTCCCTCTCCACTCTCCCTGCTTGTGTTCCCTCTCTCTCTGTCTCTCTCTCTGTCAAATAAATAAATAAAATCTTAAAAAAATTAAAAAAAAAAAAGAAAAATGCCTTGTATGGAGTAGATGCTAAATGTGTCTTGGATGCTAACATTAAACTCTTTAGTAGTTTTATCCAATAGAAATATAATACAAGAGTAATTTTTAACTTTCTAGTTAACCACATTTTAAAAAGTAAAAGGAGGGGTGCCTGAGTGGCTCAGGTGGTGGAGCGGTGTGACTTGATCTCAGGGTTGTGAGTTCAAGCCCCACTTTGGGTGTGGAGATTGCTTAAAAATAAAATCTTGGGGTGCCTGGGTGGCTCAGATGGTTAAGCGTCTGCCTTCAGCTCAGGTCATGATCCCAGGGTCCTGGGATCGAGCCCCACTCCTGGCTCAGCCGGGAGTCTGCTTCTCCCTCTCCCTCTGCCTCTCCCACTGCTCATGCTCTCTCTCTCTCTGTATCTCTGTGTCTCAAATGAATAAATAAAATCTTAAAAAAAAAAATAATAAAATCTTTTAAAAAAAGTAAGAAATGAATGGAATTAGTGTTAATATATTTATCCTAATACATCCAAATTATTAGGATTTCAATATGTAATTAATATAAAAATTATTAGTGAGATACTTTTCTTTCCCCATCCTACGTCTTTGAAACCTTGTATATATTTTGCATGTATAGCACATCTCAATTTGGACTAATGACATTTCAAGGGCTCAGTGTTTCTACTCTACTTTATTACTGTGGTCTTATTAAATTATTAAGATGCTGTGTTAAGGTTGTTTTATTAATTTCTCCCATATCACAATTTCCTATTTGGAAACATCCCAAAGAAAATACAAAAAGTGGGTTTTCTACGAATATTTGAGTTTTTTTTTTCTCTGTAGATCATCTCCCTCCAATTCTGATTGTGTTTTTGTTCCATTCTCTGGACTGAGGCCAATATCGTCACATTCCTGTAAATCACACTGCTTCTAACGAGACCCAGAAGTGCAGTCAAATCCTGACCAAAGGCCAAATAAAGCAAAAGGTTTCTTTTTGGCTCTGGTGTGATACCTACCTCTATTTCCTCTATTAGGGACAGTTTCTTATTACTCCAACTAGTCTTAGCCTTGGTTCCCCACACTTAAGAAGTTCCTAATGTGGGGAGAAACAAAACTGATAAGAGATGGAGCAAGAAAGAAGGGATGTGATATTTTTTAATTTCAAAAATGAAAATTTGGCTCTACCAATCAATCAATTCCTTTCAATTGATCTTGCTAAATCCTGGATGACAACACTCTTAGGAATTTACAATCTTGTAGGTATGAGAAGATTGAGAATGATGGTAGAACAATTAGAGAATTATGGGTAGATGCTAAATGTGTCTTAGATGCTAGAACAATTAGAGAATGATGCTTTGTCATAGACTGTAAAGACAATACTCTTGGTGATGGCTCCTCAGATTAAGAGAATGGGTTTAGGACGTTAAAGCTGAAAAAATTCTCAGAGGCCATGTAGTTCAATGTTCTTTTTTACTGATTAGGAAAAGTGGGACCAGGAGAGGTTCAAACGCTTGGTGAAGTTCAAATGGCAAGTTAGTAAAAGAGGGAGCGGGAACCATGGTCGCTTTGTTCTTATCACAGTTACCTTGATTTGACGGTAATTCACCTATTAAAATATAACATGCTGTTCCTCCCAAAAAAGGTTTTAACAACTCTCTATGCAGTTTAGATTATCATTTTATTCTTGCTGCCTTCTCTCAAACCTTTTTACATGGGCCTGGTCTCCATTAATGGGTGTGTTCAATGTATCCTGAATGAGTTAGCATTTCTAAAAGGCCTGGGGAAAAAACAAACCAAACCAAACCAATGAGAAGACTGTTTCAATCTTGTACTTGACCATCAATTCCTCTGGCAGGTGGCACAACTTCAGCTGTGGTGTGAAGGAGGTGTTTGAGTTTCAGGGGAGGAGGGATCTGGAATAGAATCTTGGCACACCAGCCTAACTAACTGTAAGAGTCCTTCCCTCCACAGCAACCCCACACCCAGAGTTGGACTTGCTGATGTCTGAGGGTGGAATTATAAATTAAGGAGAATAAAGCACACAAGCCACCAAAAAGAGCCACAGAGCTAACTCAGGCAGGTAGGCTCAGAGGTAAGTGGCTGGGACAGGGCACAGCGGTGTAAAAGAAAAAAAAAAAGAATTATTGTTTAATGTTGCTTGATATTAAACTCCTTCAACTTGGGGCGCCTGGGTGGCTCAGTTGGTTAAGCGACTGCCTTCGGCTCAGGTCATGATCCTGGAGTCCCGGGATCGAGTCCCACATCAGGCTCCCTGCT